TTGCACACCTTGGGATTAGAAATGCACTTCCACCTCTTGTTACAACCTGGATCCTTTTGGGTATATCAGCTTGGAATGGGACATGCCAACAAGTGAATGTCACATTCTTTCAGAATTGCACGACAAAAAGGATGCAGGATAATTTTCTGGTGTTACTTGTAAGTCTGATGAGACCTTAGGGACAAACTTGGGAAAAGTCCTCAAAACAGATTTCTCATTAGTCTTAACTGTAAATGGTGGATGTGCCACTACCCGGCTTCGTCCGAAACTTGGATTCTTGTCTTGGATTAATACACGGCCTACGTGGAGGGTGCGTGGGGGGATGTGTGACGTCAGCAGGCACACTGCTTAACGCTGCCGCATGTGGGTGACATCACAGATGTGACGTCCATTATTGCGCCCCCCCCTCACCAAAATATAAAAGTCATTTTTTATACCTGCATTGTGTACAGTCTGGAAGCTACCCACATACCAAATTTCAAGTTTGTTGCATGTTGGGAAGTCTGCGCAACATTTCGAACAGACACACATATTCACAAATTTCCCTTTTATATATATAGATGTTTTCAACCAATATATGCATGTTTATACAAGTGGGAGGAAATCCATGCATGTGTAAGGGATCTGCGAGCCACCCTTACCATGCAGACATGAAATCTCCGCACTCAGTATAACACGCACCAATCACACGTACAGGAATATACTAGACGGGAGACGGGGGTCAAGGATTAAAGGGCACTGACGTCACCAGGCGTGCGAGAGACGAGGATGTGTATTGGGAACGAGGGCAGAGATAGAGGGTTTTAAAGGGGCTGTGAGACACGTGTTCGAGGTTGGTTTTGGAATGTGTGTGGCTGTGGGTTAAAGAATAACCAGTCTCCGACTCCTCTTCACATGTGAGGGAGCAGCACTCTCCCATACAGATGGAAACAAATTGTAATTAGTCCACTTGCTGCACTGCCTTCTTGCAAGTCAGGGTATGGTACCTCAAAGCTTACGGGAAGGGAGTTTAACTACATTTGTTCTGTCCACCGACCCTCTCCTCCACAGTGCTGGATTACAGCCATGTGCCATCACCACCTGACACAAATGCCTGCCGCCTTGCCGAGGTTATGGCTCGATGGAATACCAGCTATTGGTCAGCATTCAATTTGATAAAGTGGCCAATGGTTCGAAAAGAGGTCTGCATAGGGAATTTAGCAGCAAATGACTTGGCATTCAGTGCATGAGCTACATTTAGTGCATGAGCTACTTTCTCATTTAATATAAGCTTGAAGCACGAATAAAAACTACATTTGTATACAACGGTCACTGACACTCTCCAGATTTAGACAATAAAACACTATTCCAGTGGCCAGCTCTCAGGGAACTTGGCTAATTAATAAAATGTTACATATGCATCAATTTGATAATAAGTTTAGGTGTAGGGGAACCCCCTCATAGAGAGTGAGTGAACTACAGGCTCTAGTCGCAAGTCCTCCAGGGTAATTTAAAATGGGGGAGCACTGTTCAGAATGTCACTCTGTTTTGTGACAAAAGTGCTCTGTCATCAAGATGAACCAGGGCTAACTAGCGTACATCTTGGCTGGTTATGTGGCAACGACCCATTGAACATACAAATTTGGGCGGTCTGTTATAAAAATGGGCAAGCTGATTTAGGCAACTATTGGTGGGATGATGACACTTTGGCAAATAGTTTAACGTTTCATGTTATGAAATTAAAGCTTTATGTTTACAATACATTGTTTTTAGTTATGAATGCCAAAGTTAATGATAATTTATTTTTAACCTTACCATTGCTCAGGACAACTGCTTTAAGTCCCATGATATCAAGATTTTCTCCAAGCCATGCACATTAACAGTATATAGAGTAAATGTGACCAAGAGGATAAGTATGCCCAAGTGGTAGTAACTACGCGTGCATGGCACTAGTTAAGGGGCCACTCGATCTCTTGGCGTGCAGAATGAGCGGTTTCCGGGGACGTTGGCTTAGGGCAGGGGTCGGCAACCAAAATAACAAGAAGAGCCATTTCTTTCCAATTCGGTACAAAATTCAGTATTTCAAGAGCCGCAATGCATCTGAGAACATACTGTACATACGTACATATCGTCAAGAAGCAGCCCGTAAAGAGCCGCATGCGGCTCCGGAGCCGTAGGTTGCCGACCCCTGGCTTAGGGTTTTGGAATTAAATGCCACCTCGGCGCCACGTTGGGGTCATTAGTCTGGGTTGTAGCAGACGCCGTCACCCGCCGAGAGAGGGCATTCACTGGTGAGCGACAGAGATGTAACTCGACCCTGCCGCCTGGCATGTTCCTACTGACAAACTGGTGTTGTATCAACGTTCACAAGTGTGAATCTGCGTGGCATATTACGTCAGCCTGGGATATGCCAAAGTGCAATAGACACAGATTCGACGTACAAAGCATCTATATGTTGGACACAGGGAGAATGTGAATTAGGGGCATTTATTTGATTAGGAAAAGGGAGCCTTAATATCTTTACTTGAGTAATTGCCAGAATGGACTCTTTCTCACCCTTTCTACTAACTCACTCTGTTGTTGTCGTTGTTGTATCCTCAAATCTTGTAAGTCAATTTTAACCCACTTCCCATCGTGGTATCGACTGCAAACTTGGTATATTTATGTCATACTGATGACAGTACTATATTCTATCGTAAAAAATATATTTTTGTACATTATTTTTTACATGTCATGTTTCGGCTTGGGTCTAATTGCCCACGGCCCCTTACATTATGCCCCACGCTTTTAATTTTTAGTCAGTTACAACAACAGTATATTAAACATATATAATGCAAAGTACAGTGGTACCTCGGTATACGTCGTTAATTAATTCCAGAAGATAGGACTTATACCGAAAATGACGTATACCAAAGAATTTTTCCCATAAGAAATAAAGGGAAAGGAAATAATCCGTTCCAGAGTAAGAAATTATATTTTATATGGCATATTACATTAATGGGGTTGTATAAAATAATGTAGACACTACTTATTACTAAAATGCATACATAACTTAAAATAAATTCATAAATAAATTAAAATAAAAATAAAATTTTACGTCACTTTACCTTGCTGAGAGGAGTTGATAGCCTACAAGGATGGTGGTGAGGAAGGGGAGGAGGAGGAGATGATATTTTTTGGAAGGAGAAGTTCCCTTCCATTAACTTCAGGAAGATACAATTCTGGGGTTTTTTTTCTTTTGTTTCCTGTCTTTTTTTTACTTGGACCTGGTTGAGGCTCACCAGGTTTGAGTTTTACTAAAAACCTGTCCATTGAAGTTTGTTTTTGCCTTCTAAGAATGTTCCTGAAGTGGGACATTGTCTGGTCATTCTACACAATACTGTTACAGCTTGTTAGAGCCGTAACAGTATTGTGTACGCGGGTACTGTACGCGGTGACTCATCCCGACCCATTCAAGTAGCAAGCGCGTCATATCCCAAGACATTTTTTCCTCGTCAAAACACGACGTATACCAAATTCGACGTATTCCAAAGCGGTCGTACACCGAAGTATGACTGTACTTGAACAGAAAAAAATTAACCCGTAAAAACAAAGTTTTTCACTATAAATCCTTTATATGCGTGGCGGCTAGAGTCCTCTCGTCCTCTGGCTTGAGATGGCTGCCACCTATGGGTCAGATGATTGTCTGCCACCATTAAGCAATTGGTAATTAAATATTTATTTATTTTCCCCTAAACAGTGTAAAATTATGGAAATTTCACGAAAATTAATTGTCACGCACAACGAGTCTGTGTGCAAAATGTCAGCTCGATTGGATCACGGGAAGTGGGTAAAAAAACGACCGAAAGATTTGCACGGTCGTAAGCGCGCAAGCAAGCAAGTGAACTTAATATGAAGGATTTAAAAAAGATTTTTAACTTTTTAGTACATTTCATAAAAGCGTGTTTTAATATATTTTTTAATATCTATTATTTTAAAGGACTAACAAGTACTCTTTGGGTCTTTCGGTCAGTGTTCAATACACAAACTTCATGGCCACTGTGTGCGTTCAACTGGAAAAAAATAATAAGGCCAAGTGCCACCACTGGCAACCGATTGCATACCATGGGATTGACACTGGCAGGCTGGCGTCTTAAGCTAGTGTTACTGCTTTAATTTGTTAATTGTAAAGTGTTTATTTTAAGGGTATTAACTTTTCCCCACATGGTGAAGCTCATTCGTGCATGGCATTTCCATCGTGAACAACTACAATTCAGCGAATATCAGGTAGAGTTGGTTGGATGACATGCAAAAGGATCCATCGTGTGGGCTATCCTCATGCTCAGCAATGTGGTGCCTTTAAGGGACAGTACTGCGAGTAGATACTTGACCTGTCTGTGCTGAGTGTTTTTCAAATGGGTGGCTTTTCTGAGGGTACTTCAGCTTCCTCTCGCAAGTGTAATGTGTCCAAAATTGACATAACCTTGACAATAAGAACCCTTCTGAAAACAAGTTTAAACTCGATACGGCCTTCCTGGATAATTATTAAAATTAGAATTGTCCTCGAAAATAGCAGTTTTCCTGTATGGTACGTGGAGTTTATAAAGTGTGTAGTCTCACAACTATACAGTAGTGGAGTGATGTTAGACTTTTGGTTGATTAGGCCATTGGGAATGGGCTAGAGTTGTGTATGTGAAGAAATATTCCAGTAAAAGAGGGAAAAAACACTGCCATACAATGACATAGGGTCAGGATCAAGGGAGAGAGAAAGTAAATTCTAAGCAAAACAGAAACAATGTTGTAGGTCTGGACTTCAAAACAGGGAGCTAGCCAGGAATTTATATATTCTGCAGGAGGGAGTTCTAGACAGTGTGGCAGCTGAGGAGATAGAGCGACCTATTGAGAGTGGATGCTCATTAGCAGAGGGCCCAGGGAGTAGAGTGGGATGCGATTATGCTGTGCACGGTGTCGAGGTGCTTTGTGGTGTTCGTGACTCGGTTGTGTTACACATAATCATCGGTGCATTTGAACTCTTCCCACAGAGCGAAGTACCACAAGCTAAAGTATGGCACGGAGCTCAACCAGGGTGACATGAAGCCTCCGACCTTTGATGCAGGTAATCAGTGTGTCATACTCAACCCACAGTAGTTCTCAATATGAGGCAAGGCTAGCTTAGGGGGACATACTTATGTTTTATTCTTCGGGATGTGGGTGTCACTGGCAATCTTACCATTTATTGCCCATAATTAAATTAACTTAGTAAATCTGTGATGTGGGCATCATCCATAATGATTGTCATCAAGCATGGCCAGTGGGTGCCTCACCTCCCTGTAAGGATTTTTGAAGGCCAGCTCCTTAAATGCATAGGTACTCTCTTGGTACAAAAGATTAGTTGATCGTTTGGTAGAGGACTATTGTTATTACTTGTGTACTTAGTTGCCCATTTTTTCTTCATTTGTTGAAAGTTTTTTTTGTGAACTGGAGCAGAGTTTCTATTAACTGGAGCAGAACAGACAGACACGTGTGGTTTTTAGTTGAAAAAAAATCATGGAACTTAAAATGCATATTCCTTAGGAATGCTTCTTTCAACTTACATAATAGTGGGCCGAGCTTTAGGTTTTAGGAGCAAGCAACATCTGGGGTTCTTGGATTCAGCAGGACTTGCATTCTTTGAGAGCACTTTATTGTTCCCAGTGAAAGGTTTCCCTGTATCAGAGCCGCTAACCTAGTGGTTCTGAACGTTTAGTGCACACACCCCCTGGCTGTGCAAGATGCCCTTTTTGGCGGTTCGAGACACGCCAGATTTTTTTAGAAGGTAAATGATCGAAAATACGAATTAAACACGGGCATGTAAGTACAACCACTTTGTTTCATCAAACCTATGTATTTATTAACATTTTCCATGTTTTTTACGATAGAGAACCAAATGGGTGCAGTGAAGGTTAAGTACCACTGCACTCACCCATGGGTTTTTATTTCTTGAAGGTGGCTGAGGGGGCATGTAATTCAGGGTCTAAAGTAAGTGTTTGCAACTGTACCTCTTTAGTAAATGTAAATTTGGGCATACACCACCATTGCATATCCACCACACTTTATCTCAAAATATTCACACCGTACTGCTTTCAAAAGGAAGATGCGACCCACACACCAAGTGTCCACTATACTTTAGATTGAGTTGGACTCTATATGGTAGTGGCTCCACATTTGCTGGGCACTGGAGGCTGTGATTTAGTTTGTTGGTCATGGAGGAGTTGTTTGACCATACTTCATCACACTGGTTGCAATGGGTTGGTAAAGGGGAGCACATTTTTTTCTCGTTTCTTGCAGAGTGCTCGACTGGTATGGGTGCTCCTATCCAGTATACGAGGACATGATTTATATATGTGTTCTGAAGAAGGGCCATTGTTCTGAAGAAGGGCCATTGCCCAAAACGTCACTTTATATTTTTCATTTGACGGCAGTGGTATTGATGAATGTGAGGTTTACAAATACAAAGTGTGCTTGTGCACCACTGCCAATGCAGTATCATCATATAATGAATGGGATATATGGCTTTGAAAAGTGTAAATGTTGATACATTCTCATCCAGCTGGGTGCCAAATTTTCTGAATTTAAAATATGCTGTTTAACATTCCAGTATCCAGCAATGGATATTGTCATCCTGTTCAAACACATTGACTTTTTCTACATTCGTTTGTGCTATAAACACTGAAAGTGCTATGGGTGGGGTGAAGGGTTCAGTTAAGGTTAGGGGTAGGGTTAGTTGGTATCTGGTTGAATTTTTTTTTAATACAGTGTATGTAGGGCTAATATCTGGGTGGCTATTATTGGATAATTTGATTATGATTAGAGGTAGGGCTTGTGTCTCAAGAGCTAGTGCAGTCGATCAAATAAGTCTGCTTCTTTGTCCGATTGCCATATAGTTTTCACAGAGCTTCTCTTTAAATAATGTGCACAAAATATCCTCTATGTTGCTGGAAGCATCAACGCAAGGTGGCAGTGGCATTGCCTTTGGTTACAATTACTTGGCATGCACGTTGCTGTATGGAATATGCACATTTCACATGTTTTAGTCCCGTGTCCTTAAATGGCCTGTTTGGAGAGACATGAAGAGGATGACTCATCGAGGCTGTAGTCAGCCATTCTCCCTTTTAGTGTATCACAGGTCCTGTGCCTCTTGTTGTAAATACATTGAATTGGCATCCACCGTTGCAGGCAGCTTCATACAGTAATGCTGTAAAGTTGCAGTACCTCACAACCAGGCGCTGTAAATAAATGTCCAGTGTTTGAAAGCGCTTGCATTTTTGTGTAGACTTCACTGCCATGGCATCCGCATGCTGTGGAAAATGTTGACCTTGACAATGTTACACAGGACCGACAATCCCTTAAAAAAACAGAGTTTAGTAAAGTGCAAAACTTTAATGTGCACCTGGTCAGAAAAAAATACTAGTTACTTGAATTTTCTCAAACGGTGGCAGGAAGAGCAAGCAAAAAATATCCACCTTGAGCAGTGGAAAAAGCAGCAGTGCTTTTGTTTACATTGCTATTTTGTCTGTTCATCGACACAGCACAGTCAGACAAAATGTACTGAAACACCCTGAAATGCAATTGAAAGGATAATGACAATAAATATTTTTCGATTTAAAGCTTTCGTGACTGCAGGGATTCATCTTCTTGGTTTTTTCGGTAAAGTCACGTAGAAGGGAAGTAATAAAATAATAAAAATAAAACATAATAAAATAATTCTCACGACGTTTCGGCTACAACGCAAGCAGCCGTCTTCAGGTGAAGAATGAGACAGTGCCAAGCTAGGAGCTTATATATAAGCTGAGTTGGAGGTGGAAGAAGAGCACCTTAACAAAAGATTGTGCATATCAAGAGGAATTTAGCATATTCATGGGTCTGAAATCCTACGGCCTTTCACTGGAAAAACCACCTCTGCAGTACTGAACTCTACTGACTTGGTATCGACAATCAAGGGGATTTCCCTGTCCCCAGACGACCTGCTTGTCAGTTTTAATGTGGTTTCCTTGTTCACCAAGGTTCCTGTGCCTGACACCATCGCAATCATTTAAGACTTGGTTCATCAAGGGCTGAATACTGGGGTACCCCCCCTGGTGAGACACTGCTTAACCAATACATACTTCACCTGGAATGGAACCTTCTACAAGCAAACTGAGGTCACCCCAATGGGCTCCCCCCTATCTCCGGTTGTAGCCAACATTTTCATGGAGAAATTTGAGACTGACGCCATCCAGACTGCCACTCTACACCCGACCTTATGGAAGAGGTACGTAGATGACACTTTTGTCATCTGGCCACATGGCCGGCCTGCTCTAGACCAATTTCTCAACCACATCAATTTCATACACCCAGCCATCAGATTTACCATGGAAGTCGAAAAAGATGGCAAGCTACCCTTTTTGGATGTCCTAATTAAAAGGAGACCTGATGGTTCAATGAGCCATTCTGTCTACAGGAAAGCCACCCATACGGATGCCTACCTAAAGCCGGATTCCCACCACCATCCATCCCAGAGGAACCCCCTCATCAAGACTCTATACCAGGGGTCGGCAACCTACGGCTCCGGAGCCGCATGCGGCTCTTTACGGGCTGTTTCTTGACGATATGTACATATGTACAGTATGTACTCAGATGCATTGCGGCTCTTGAAATACTGAATTTTGTACCGAATTGGAAAGAAATGGCTCTTCTTGTTATTTTGGTTGCCGACCCCTGCTCTATACCATAGAGCCCAATGCATCTCCGACCAGGAACACATTGCCAGTGAACTCAAACACGTACGCCAAGCTCTTAAGGCTAATGGTTACTCCGACTTCACAATCCGAAAAGCCATCACTCCAACCATCAAGAAGGATCCTGTTGAGGAGCCTTTCAAAACCATCACCTTACCCTACATTGCTGGGGTCACAAAAAAGATCTCCAAAATCCTGATTAAACACAAGATTCAGGTACGATTCAACACAGTACATAAAATCCGTGATCTGGTTCCGTCTGTAAAAGACGTGGTTCCAGACATACAGTACCCTGGTGTCTACAAACTAAGTTCCCTCTGTGGTAGCAGTTACATTGGAGAAACCAAACGACATGTCTCGGACCGCATCCGTGAACATAAAGCAGACCTGAAACACGGTAGGACAAACACCTCAGCCGTGGCAGATCACTGTTACAATTCAGTGGGCTCACATGACATTGACTTCTCCAAGACAGAGGTTCTCTGCAAGCCATCTGGCTACCATAAGAGATTCGTTCATGAGGCGATCCACATATACAAACACAGAGACAATTTCAACCGAGAAGATGGATTCTGGCTCAGCAATCATTGGAAGGACATAATAAACCATTTCGGATCTTAACTGATTGTTGTTCACGTTTACGGTGACTTTCAGACCGCAGTCCACTCACTGGCATTAACTGTATATCTTGTGTTCTCCACAGGGAATGCATTATTTGCTCCGCTGCGGGTCTCCTGCCACCGTTCTCCCATTCACATGTTTCATTGTTTCTACATACTATTAACATGCCCTCCCTTTGTTAATGCTACCCCCCTCCCTTTGGTGCTGCTGATCCTGCATAATGCATGGGCATAATATGACTTTGAAACCCCCCCGCCCACCTCCTACGCATTTCCCATGAATATGCTAAATTCCTCTTGATATGCACATTCTTTTGTTAAGGCGCTCTTCTTCCACCTCCAACTCAGCTTATATATAAGCTCCTAGCTTGGCAGTGTCTCATTCTTCACCTGAAGACGGCTGCTTGCGTTGTAGCCGAAACGTCGTGAGAATTATTTTATTATGTTTTATTTTTATTCTTTTATTACTTCCCTTCTACGTGACTTTACCGAAAAAACCAAGAAGAACAATAAATATATCTGAAAACCCTGTGTTATGTTCCAGAAATATTAATTAAAACATGTCACTTAGTGGAACTTCCAGACCAATGTAATGCCAGCAGCATTTGAGTGCAGACCGTCGATTGGCATGTCCATCGTCTCTGCATTCTCCACAAACTGTCCCTAGCCAGTGGCCCGCAGCCAGCGTGCCTTCACACCCCACCCGTAGTACGATGTAAATATCCGTTTGTGCAGAGGGA